TACATTGTGAGGCTCTACTTAGAACTTTCTTTAGATCCAATAGTGCAAAATCAAATTCTTGCAATTTTTGACTGGTCTTAAGATTTTGATCAGGAGTGTATATATATATATATATATATATATATATATATATATATATATAAAACCCTAACCAAAAGTTCTTAAGAAGTAAGGACCAAAAAAACTAGTTAAATATGAAAGATAAGTTCTAGTGCAATCCACAATCACTGTGCTATCCAGTTCACTAAATGCACTATTGTAGTTATTGTCACTAATATTACTGGAAAAAAGAGATGCTGCCAAACAGAATTGGATTGTGTCCTGTAAAATAAACTGCATTTACTCCTGCTCACCAATTCCCACTTTCACTTGCAGAGAAGATTTCTACTGTTGGTTTGTGAAGAAATGGTAGATTTCGCCCATCTGGACAACATCAAATGGATCAAAGAGCCAACACTTGCTGTAAGGCATTCAGTGGTCTTATCTTGCAAGATGAATTAAATAACCATGCCTCATCTTTATCATAATAGTGGATGAATATACATGATTATTTTTCCATGACAATTACTTTTGCATGTTTGAAAACTCTTATACACTACAGAAAACATTTTCCAGATAGATATATAGTCTGCAGTAATTGTGCTTTTTATCTGTTTTTGTGTTATCTAGTTGCGTATAGTTGGCTTTGCCTGTCATGAGACAAGAGATTAACACGAGCTACGGTCATAATCCTGCATATTTACCTTGTGTTAATGAATATGCATGATCCCGTTTTACAACTAAATAAATACATATTAATAAAGTGAATAAAAAGCATCATTGTTTATCAGCCAAGGCTTTAAAAAATAGAAATATTCTGTGCAACACTGCTGTAGTAATGTTTGATTTGTTGCAGTGGGACTCTGTGATTTTAATACAGCAAATTAAATGCAAACTACAAGCTTTAACTTTATAACGGAGCAAACACCCCACTGTTCAGCTGAGAAGAAATGTAATTACTGCATGAAGGGTGATAGGGTTTTGAGTCATTGCAGAGATAATGCACAGTGGTGTACTCATTTCTCCAACAGTTAATAAAGACATTATTTCTCAGTCTAATTAGATATATGTATATATTTCTCTCTCTCTCTTAAATTAAGAAGGAAACTTTTTTTTATGGAATCCATAAAGTGTCCAGAATACTAAGGGTGAGTTCCAGGGGTCAACAATGAATAATGGATGAGAACAGAAATAGAGAATAAGTAATTGTGGCCTGTTGTAATCCAAACTGACCATTATGTAATCATGGAGAGGGCAAACAGCAGGAAGTGGTAATTAAACCAAGTCTGAGCTGGAATGTTTGGGCTGGAATAAAACCACTGATTGCTCAGATTCAGCTCAGCTGTTTCACTGCGGCTCAGAATCTGACATTTTCTTTATTTTAGTGACTTGGTAGAGTATCGATACCTCTACAGTTCTTCCACGGTATAATCCACTGGAACCACCTTCAGCATATCCTAATGAATTATTTTCTTTTGCAGCTCTGACTGCAAATTTGGAGTTTCGTGTGCTTAAACATAAAAAATGTACTTAAATTCTTCTCATCCCAAACACGTCTTCTGTGAAACAAAAACAGAATCCAGGTGTGTTTGACTTAGGCTTTCAGGATGGTAAGGGGAGAATCTTTACCAACATTTATTTGGTTCAGTTTTCCTGCTGGAAGATAAATCTTTGCAGCCTTCAGCAAGTTTTCTTCCAGATTTTCCTGTTTTAGGTTCACCCCTCCCATTCTAATAAATGATATCCGCAGGATGATACTGCCGCCACCATGTTACACACTGTAGGTGGCGTGTTCACATGCGCACGGTAGGTTCTCCTTCATACGTGCACAAATCACCTTTTACCTTTCATATCAAAAAATTCAGTTGTAGAAATAAAGCTGAGACTGAATGCCCTTTTTTTGAAAATAAGATTTACATTTGTTTGTTTCAACAAACATGCAACAAAAACATCTGGTTTGCAATAAAACAGCAAAACATCAAGAGCAGAAAACACTAACTCACTTTCCCACATCTGCTGCTGTTCAAATGTGAAATTGTTTTGGCAAAACGAGACAAATACATTCATCTTTAAAAACGTAAGAAATGTATGGGGATTACATAAACAAGGTGATAAGCGACAACAAAGAGAAACACTGGTTTCCAAGACCTCAGGCAGGTAGAAAAAGATAAAGCTGAAGGTCGAAAGATGATCAGACAAAAAAATAGTTAAAAATATTTCTCATGTTACAACATTTGGATTTCATCATTTGGATTCACTTTAAAAATAAAATATTTTTTGGTAGAAATGACCGCAGACATGCAGGAGTTCAAGAATAAAACAGCGGAGGAGTCAATCCAACAAAATTGGATGTAAATATTTTTGCAAAGTCTCCATTTCAACCCAAACTGAACATCATTATGCATATTTAATGAAGTAAGGATTTTATTAGAGTTGCACAGATGTAACCATATGTGGCCATTTTCTTTCAGATCTTCTTACATTGCTTTTGAGATGCACTGAGTATATTTTTACTGGATCACACTTAAAGCAAGGCATGAGTGTCAGCTGCAATAAATAAACCAAAAGCTGTAAGCGGACTCTTCAAGAGTTAACTCTACATCTAATCTCTCAAGAGAAAGATCCATTAGTGGAACGAGAAATCTACAAGGGAAAACTGTTCCTCCTCATGAACGAAGCACCCATCAGCTCTGCCTCTTTGTCTTTATTTGATCGCTTTGTGTCCTGTTCCCTCCATGTTTTCCACTGCACTCTGCATCACAGCTTTGTTCTGTCTCCCTCTTATCTGTATGCCGAAGCCCTCCGTCCTTCACTCCTCCCTTGTTCTTCTTCACAGCTCGTCGCGCGCGCTCACGTTCTCCAGCTCCGACTGCAGCACGTCCGAGTTCTGGGCCTCGAAGCTCAGCTCCCCCTGCTCCTGGGTCTTCCTCGACTTGGCTCGATCCCAGTCGGTTCTTACCGTCTCATTGTTCCAGACCACTGACGTCTCCGTGTCGCTGATGTAGCCCGGATCTCCAGTGTAGTGTGTCGGATACACCAGGAGAGGCTCAGCGGAAAAAGCTTGCAGGTCCCGATTCTCGAAGTGATCCATGTACTTCGAACTGATGGGAGAGAACAAAACCAGGGAGGTTATCGTAGATGAGCAAAGCTTCACCTGGAGGCTAAAAGCTAACAGACAGAGCAAACTCACATTGGATGCTTGTTGTACATGACGGGCAGAAACTCGTCGACAGGAAGCATCTTGGTCAAAGGTTCAGCCATTAGGAGCTTCTGGGCTCCGCGTAAGGACAACATGTAGCCGAGCGTCCAGTAGGAGTAGTCCGCCTCCACCAGGTTGTGGGTGTTTGGGACAGACTTCTCTGGGTGGTCCACCTGCATCCGCTTCCGTCCAATGTATCTGAACAACATTTTATTGCATCCAGTTAACAGTGAAAGCTGTTAGAATAGTAAAAGCTCCTCTAAAAATACCCTGTATGACCCACCTCAATATAAAGTTCATATATTTACCAGCTCACAGCAGAGTTCCACATTTACTGTCATCCCTACACAGATGTAGACAAGCCTATCTTTTCTCTGAATAGTAGAAATAACAAGTGTTTTCCCACAACAATAGAGGGCAGGGTCATCATAGGGAGAAGGGCCCCCAGAGTGTATGTTAACCAAACACAACTAAAACTAGAGGACTGTCTGCACAGTTTGTGGGTTTAAGTCAGGCTCATAATTGAAGAGAAGAGGCTGAACCTGCAGGCCATAATATGAAGACCGCTGGATTTGACTGGAGAGGGAGGGAAACCATATATTGGTATCACACTGAAGGATACTAGCTAGGGTAAGGTAAGGCTACCTGATATTAGCTTGTCATAGTTGTCATATACACAATAAGCTCAAGGTACAGCAATTAATACTTGGTTATATTAGTTATCATAATATCATCACTGGGTTATATGCATGTGCAATGACTGACTGTGAATCAGTGACTAGAAGTCAGAAGACTTCTAGTTTTTATCCAAATGCACACTTAGAACCATGCTGAAGCAGGAACTACAAAAATAAATGGTCCAGTTGGTACTACTGAGAAGGCAATTTTTATGTTTTCCTGTTTAAACATCCATCCATCCATCCATCCATCCATCCATCCATCCATCCATCCATCCATCCATCCATCCACCCATCCATCCATCCATCATCTGCCGCTTAGTACGGAGGGCCTGTCTCCAGAGTCTATGGTCGACACATTGGGTACACCCTGAACAGGTTGGCAGAGACCCTCAATCACGCACACCCACATGTGCAAGTTAGAGATGCTAATCTACCTAACACTCATGTTTTTGGACTGTGGGAAGAAGCTCAAGTATTAGGAAGGAATGCATGCAAACTCCATGAAGAATGACACCATGCCGGGAATCAAACCCAGGAGCTTCTTGCTGCTAGGCAACAGTAAACTGCACCACTGTCCATCTGCATAAAGACCAATTTTCAGTTTTTCTGGTAGAGGAACCTTTTTTATACATAAGGTTTCATAATGCAATGTACTTAAAGCAAGCTCCCCAGGTAAAAAGAGGAAGCCCACAGCACCATAGATCCCTCACCCTACCTCACAATACCTGGCTTGCTTTCACATATATTCATCCTGGAGATTGTTTGGGGGAAAAGCTCACTTTTAAGGCCATTCAAACAGAGACCAGCTAAGATTTCCCTGCCAGACTTTTTTGCTGCATCCTAACAGATGAGTGTTTTGGTTCGTTTCTGTGAGGTTTCACAGCGTCAGCAGTGACACTACAGCATTTTTAGAGGACTTATTGGAGCACAGGGGCTCAAAAAGGACGGAAAGTAAAACATCAGGGTAAATATAGCGAGTGAATCTATAGCATATAAGTCTTGATTATAAAGTAACTTTAATTATTTTATTTTTTTCTAAGAAGATGCTCAGAAGATAAGCTTAAGAGTGTAGAGAAGTCATATACGACATACTGGATGGCATTTAAAAGGGAACTTAATTGAGTGCATTTCTTCACTCACATCAGATCCCAGTCCACCTTGTGAGTCGTCACTTCCTGCAGCAGCGCCTGGAGCCGGCGTTTGAAGAACACCTCAAAACGAAGGTCGTCTTCCAGGACCAGGGATGTTTGGAGGCCGCGTTCCACAATCTAAACACTCAGAGAAACAAAGGTTTTTTAAAGCTTTAATATCACATGGAGACCTGCTCCTAAAAATCAAAACATGGGATTAAGTACATTAAGTGCATTTAATCCAACAAATTCTGTTTTAACTGAATCTACTTGTGAGATTGTTAAAAAATGTATCAGACCTGATTTACATTTGGCTCCTGTGGCCTCACATTAAATTCAGCCCAGTGTAGAATTTATTCATGTCCAGAGGCCACAGTTTTAATTCAATTTTCCTCCAATATAACAAAAAGAACAATATTCTCTTAAAAACTGCAAGGTGATTTTAAACTGCTTCTATAAAAGGTTCACGCAGTATCAATAAGTAGTTCCACTGAGGAAGTGAAACTCAGATTTAATATTATAACAAGAAGCTGTATGTTTTTTGTGATTTTGCAATTCAGATTTTTTAAGAAAGATTAACAAGAGCAGTTTAATTCAAAAGAGTAAGGATATGACTAATACCATCTTAAGACTACAGACTTCATAACAGACAGTCACTTGTGCCCTTTGAAGGAGGTTAAGGCAGAAAATGGCATTGGTGATATGCTCAACATTAATGTTCTTTTCTAAAGCGCGTCTGTAGAAGATGCTGATTTAAACTCCAGCAGGACTGATGTTTGCTGATGCTGCATAATGTCAGTTATGATGACAGTGGTTTGCTTGATTGGTAGGAATGTTCTGTACAATACATGAAAATGTCTTTTCTTCTGTTCTTGTTATTTATATTTTACTGGTCCTGCATATTATACTGCACTGTAAAAACGATCTAGAAATAAGTCAACATTTCTTAATTTAAGTGTATTTACCCTTAATTTGAGTAGATAAATACAATGATTTGCCAATGGAATTAATATTTTTACTCTTAAAATAAGATACTTAGATCATATGCACTTGAAATAGGCAAGGCAAGGCAAATTTATTTGTATAGCACAATTCAGTACAAAGACAATGCAAAGTGCTTTACATGACTAAAATATAGGAAGATAAAACAGAATCAAAGCAAGTAGGAAAAAAAAAGAAAATGAATAAAAAAAAAAAAAAAAAAATGGGAGGTCATCATGATGAAATGCGAGGTCTTTTGGTTCACAGGTGGAACAAAACCTGAACTGCCTTTCTGCTCCCTAAAAAGAAAAGTTATCTTTTATTTTGTCTTTAACATTTTTGTTTATTGCAACATTAAAAGAATCTTATTTTCTTAGCAATTGATCAAAAATTTCTCCTTGGGCAGTTGACAATTCCCCAGAAACCTTGCCTTTTGTTCTACTACGATAGAACAGCAAAACCTTTCCCATTATCTACAGGCAATATAACTCTGCCCGATACACACCAATCCTATGGTGCCAACCTTGATAACTCTAGATTACCGACGTCTCAGTAAAATTAAATAAGACAATGCAATTGTTTTTTTCTTATTTCAAATGTAAATTATGTTGTTCCATTTTTAAAGTGTTTCACTTACCTCCTCAATTCAAGAACAAATGCACTTATTTTAAGAAAAAAATACTCATTAAAATTTCAATTTTTTTGCAGTTTGCAAAACGTTTTTTTTCACTGGCTTAGACAATGTTTGGATTTAAGAAAGAGAAACGCTTTAATTCAGGTTGGGATTATTTAAATCTATAGCTCAGTTTTATGTATTTAGTTAATTTATAGCATTGGGGTAATTTGTTGAGATGCACCTTTTTGGGGAAGTAGATGGCAGGGTGGTTTGACGGCAGCTGCAGTAGCTCTCTGTCGCTACCACTCAGTCCAACTAAAGTAACAAAGTAATTTTCTCATATCTAAAGTTACTCCTGATCGAAAACAAGAAACACAAAAATACTTGCATGCCATAATAATAATAATTGGTCTCAGAAAATTGACTTTTCAAACAGCAAACTTATTTCTTTAATGTTTTAACAGAAACTGTTATCAGCTGTGAGCAGATGGACCCAAATGCCTCAGGTGTGTTTAAGTATCTCACCTCCTTCCAGATGTTGTAATGAGAGAGGAAACAACCCAGTTCCCCCTTGGTGAGAGGCCGTCCGTGATAAGGGTCTTTGTATCCAGGGAGCATCTTAATCCCCATAGAATCTATATCAGACGTATTCAGAGCTCTGGCAGAAACAGATCGGATTAAGCACCAACAGATTAGAAATTGAATCTATAAATTACAAGGATGCGCTGTTGTCCCTATATAAAAAAAAAAAAAAAGAAGAAAAGATTTTTGTATACCAGACTAGATTTATAAATAAGGTGGCTGTTTGTGGGCTTTGCATTGATGATCTGAGCATTTGTTTGAACCCAAAGCTGCTGTGTATTACGGTTGGTTTTTGTTTGTATTTTAGAGGCAGACAGCGGGATGGTCGCAGAGGTTAAGCTCTAATGACGCATTTGGCAGTCGGCTCACCCTAATTTTACCCATCTTGGACCTGATTATCTGAAGCCAATCTAGATCATAAAGTTCACCCTACAGGGAGGTAGTGCAAGAAAAAGACTCTGACAGGGGCAACATTAACTGGATCCTGGACTGGAAGAGCATAAATCTGGACTAATCACACTAAATGACCTTTTTCTATTGCTTTAAAGTGCAATCAATATGCTGTCTCTGCCAAACCTCATATTCTGTTCTCTGCAGACTAAGCAGCTCTAAAGCTTCATTATGTGGAAACCTCTGCATTTTTTTTTTTACATTTTAGTATAAGGTAATACAGTGGCTATTAGTAGGTATTTAGGTAAAGCTGTTGCAGGAGTTTCACAGTAAATGCTTTCACATTATTCAGCCTTAAACAGGGTTTCTGTTTATAGTGTAAAAACTTCAGAATATTCAATTACATCCCTTAGGTTGTCTTAAAAATATAAAACCCTAAAGTTCACTATGAATTTATGGAAGATATTTCCACAGTCTGCAGACTTGTTATAAAACACTGAGGAGAAAAAAGAACAGTCTTAAAGGAAGGAAGGAAAGGTAAGCATGAGGAATGAATGAGAAAGACATGAGGAAGGAAGGAAGGAATTAGAGAACCGATCCTGTTTTTTCTGATCCAATGTGATACCTATTCCTGTGTTCATCATATCGAGTGATGCTGATACCGTTACCATGGTTGGCTGAATGAACCCTGTACTTTGCCGTGAGAGTGAAGGCATCAGGGCTGAGATAAACATTGTTAAAAAATGGGTAACAAATGAAAAAATAATTGATATTAATTATGATCAAATGAAGTATACATTAGCAACAACAAATAATACTTGATTAAAAGCTGACTGCAAATTGCAAATATTTCAAAATGTAATGTAAACTATAGCAGCCTGCTGGAACTAGATTGGTGGAAACGTGTTTCTGTGTATGATACTAAACATTAAATCTTTGTCATTCATGTAATGTCAGAAACAGCTAACTTAAAAAAAATGATAAAACTGTAAATTTACAGTCATTTTTAGTATTTTTCAAGGCTGCACTTTTAAAAAAAGATTAAATTGTTCATAGAGCTGTTCCAAACGAAATTTGTTTTTGTTTTACAGTTTTGCAAACAAAATGACAAATAAAATGTGTCTCAGTCTAGTGAATATAAGAGCTATTATCCAATCCAGGTATCAAATCAGTGCATTTCTGGGAGAATTGTCTTAAGGAACAAGAAAAGACTGAAACAGTAAAGTAAAGTAAAGTAAAGTAAAGTAAAGTAAAGTAAGTAAGTAAGTAAGTAAGTAAGTAAGTAAGTAAGTAAGTAAGTAAGTAAGGAAGGAAGGAAGGAAGGAAGGAAATAGTGAAGTGAAGGAAAAAAACAGAAAACCTTTAGCCAAAGGGAAAGTGGCTTATAATAACAGAGGATATAGAGCTATCTTCCATACTGCTATTCTGTTTTTTTATTCATATCCGTACTAGAACATCATGGATGTCTACAGCTATGTTCCTGTTATTGAATCTGATTTGAGGGATTTTCCCACAATAACTCTTGACAGCAACATGATGAGGTGTTGCATTAGCTGAACATCCGCAGGTGAACGTCCATTTAAATAAACCATGAGATTATCCCATGGGCTTTCGTAATTTCTATAAAGGCACAGTAATCTTCATGTATGTAGGTTCCTGTCTCTGATGTAAGCCATAAAAAGATGAAAGCAATCTCCAATTAAAAAGCATTTAGAAAACGAAAATAATCTAGGTAATCCTACCTGAAAAAAACAGGAAAAGATAAATATGTAAAAATAGCAGACAAGGACAATAAGATCTGAATACACTCTATGCAAATATTTATAGATGTAGTTTCAAATGTATTCCACAAAAAAAAAACATTTAAACCTACTTCAAGCTGAAAATATCTTATTCAAGAATGATCAAGCATAAGAGACTTCTAGTAATAGCAGCTACTTTTCAAAGGCCTGTTCATTTCTGTTTTGATGCTCTACAGGCACCAAGCCCACATGTTGCAAAGGTGTGCAATAAGAAAAGACACAAGCAACAGTAGAGGAAGATAATGAGTAAACTTACTTGCCATCCACAGCAGCAACCACCTTACAGCTGATCTCCTGCTCGTACAAGGTCCTCAGCATTCGCTCCCGACGGTCAGCTCTCCGAACCAGATTTATCATAAAAACCTGCGTGCAAAAAAAGGCACACGCTCACACACATGCTCAGGTTACTGCGTATTCCTGTCTGTAACAGGTGCAGTGTGAATATACCTCATCAAAGCCCATCTTGTTTGGCTGTTTGGGAGGAAGAGAAAGGAAGCTGGAGGGCTCCAATGGAGGATGATTCACTGTCGAAGGAAAATATTACAGACACACTGAATAATGAGCTCCTACAGCGAAATCGTAGGTTATATAATGCAAGATTCGGAAGAGTAACTTTTTCAGTAAAGAGAATCAAATGCATCAACCTACATGATCACAGATTTGGATTTTTTTGGAGCTTGAATGATGGAGTTAAGCTGCAGTTTTAACACAGACATCAGTATCAGTGAAATGTGTGTTCTTTTGCATACATTACAGACCGACTAACCAACATCTCAGTACACTGAGCTGGTAACCACACCGTATACTGCTGATCTTATGGACCAAACACACCCACACCATGTTAGAAAAACAAGATGTCTGCTTACAGGAAGGGGAGTTTGGTCTAGAAAAAGATTCCAAGGTTTTCACTCTAATCATATGTTTGCTTGAGCAAAAAGGGTAAAGCCAACAACAGTTACTGTACAGTTTAGTTTTTAAGCTCCTAGCGCTGCAACCAATGCCTATTTTTCAATTCGATTAATCTGTCGATTCTGTTTTAGATTAATCGATTAATAATCAAAAGGTTCCTTAAAGGAGAGAACTTAAGCCAACTAACACTGTACCTTTTGAGGTCTTCTGGATAGAACATATTAAAGGACAAAAAGGGGTTTAATTCTAATTACAAATTTATTAGACATATTTTACTGTTTTGGTATAATAACTGGTTTTAGTGGGTTTCTCTTTCAGCAAAACGCATGTTTTAGATTCTCTATACGACAGTTAACAATTAACCGATTACCAAATTAGTTGACAATTATTTCAATAATGGATTAATCACAATTAGTCTGATTGATTGTTTTAGCCCTAAAAGCACCTGATCTACTGGATTTAATCTTTTCTGATGATTTTTTTCCATCTGGCTTAAAGATTTCCACACAGCCACTTAGCAAGCAGTGAAATAGAAGGTCTGGAAGTGGAACTAAAATAAATGTTCCCCGCTACAGTGAGAAATCAATGAATAACCCAAACCAATCACAAAAGATGGTCCGTTGTACACGATTGGTTCCTGACACGTCAATCATGGTTGTCTGCTTGTCCCTTCCCCCTGTGCGCGTACCCAGACACGTGAACGAATCGACCCCCCAATGCTCGTGCAGGAAGCCATGGCTGAAAGCTAGCCACTGTTATGCTGCGTTCACACCTAAAGCAGCAGAGGCAGCAGGAGCAGCTAGTTTACAGGCAAAGCCAATGGTTGACGCACATCAAGGCGCAGCAAAACGTCCCGCAGCGTGTTTTGAGCAGCTGAAGCAGCGCGTTGTTAACTTTTAAGCATCTGACACCTGAGACTCCCTGCAAATGCAGCAGCTGCTGGAGTTGGAAAAATGTAACTTTTGCTGCTCGATGCGCCACATCAGCCAATCAGAGAAGCTGATCTGGGAGCTGGCAGAGAGAGAGACACATCGCTGATGATAAGAGATCACTCTGATCACTCCTCTGAAACATTTTATTAATGCCTAAATTACCTTAAAAGGCCAAAATGTGCCGGCATTTGCTTTTATTATCCTGGTTCCTGCAGTTTGGATTACGTACTGTACATAAAAACACCTTCAGGCTGCTGTAGCAAACCGGGAAGAGGCGAGGGTCTGAGCGGCTCCGACAGAGAAATAATATTTGAAGGCAGGATGGGAATCTGGATGAACTGACCGCACAGATGAGGTTTTCAGGTGGACTTTCTCACTTAAAAACATATTAAAACTACTTTTTACCCACTGATCACAACAAATATAGCTGCCTTTATTACAGGCAAAGAGATGATAGGGTAGCTCCGCCCATCGCGGATCAGAACCACCACCACTCAGCCAGAGCAGCTTCAGCGGCGCGTCAGAACTAAACTTAATGAAGCAGCACATGCGTTTTTGCTGCCTTGCCCTGCTTGCGGTCTGAACGTAGCATTATGCTGCATTCAGACCTGAACTTATTCCACGTTCCGTTCTCCTCTACTCCTCCATAGCTAGCCCAGCTAGAATCATTCAGCTGTAGCCTCCTCCTGCCCTGGTGCTGTTTCCCTGACAGGTTTTCTATCGACCACTGTGCTCCTCCGCTCTTGAGCTGCTTTGTCTCCCCGCTCCAGTGACCTGTCTGCCCAGCGATCTCTGTGGCTCCAGAGGGCGGCGTGACTAGCCCCCTCATCTCTGTTACGGTGTTTTTTGCCGGTGTTCTCACACTGATTCTCTGCTGCTGCTGTCTGAGCTCAGAATGCTGTATCATCCTCCCTCTGTTCTCGGATAATTCGTCCCCCTGTTTTGGACACTCTGACCAAACCAAACCTGGATCAAGCACAGGGGAAAGATGCTAGTCCACTCAGAACAAAAGTTCAACAACAACGCAACAACTAGTGTTTAAACTCAGTGCTCTTCATAATGCCACGGTTGCGTCACATGAAAAATCAACCGATTTCCAAGCACTGCTGATTGACCGCTGTAAGTCTAAATCATGATGCTGCAATGGATATGCTGAATTACCTTTTGTTCTGTATCTCCATATACTCAGCATCTGTGCTTTGTTTGCCCTGAATGCAAAGCAAGTACCCTTTACTTGACATTCACTAACCTCTTCATATTTTTACACCATCTCTATTTTAATAAATGCTTTTATTTAAAAAAAAATCCTCAAATCAATCCCTTTAAATGTTAAGATATTAAACATGTCACTGTTTATTTAACTTTTGCCAATGCCTGAGCATTACGATTCCCTCTCTGATCCTCTGTGAAACTAAAGGTTAAATTATCTACCCATAGAAACAGCCAGCTGAGACTGAAGCATTCAATACTCGGTTTAGTTGAGCGGCACAGGTTTGCATATTTAAATAATTCATAGGGTGCACAGAAGGCTGCTGCAGTAGAAGTTTAAGCAGATGCACCAACTTCAGCTAAATGTTTATAATTCTCTGATCCAGCTCTGAACCCATTTTCCCTTCAATAAATCTCATTTCGATGTGAACTTGCTGGCTTCTTTCAGTTTAGCAATACCCTAAAACTAAAGACATGAGATCCAAATAAATAATAAAGGATCTTTCCATCAGTCCGTTTTCTTTGAGTACACTAATCTTATCTTAAAACACTTCTATAGCAACAGGTTCAAAAAGGGATATGACCACATAGGTAGGATTAAATAAATTTATCACGAAACTATTAACCAAATGTCTAATAAAATACGTACATACCTGATAAAATAAATAAATCCTCTATCAAATGTCCAATTAAATCATAGAAGCTAGCTTTTTAATTATTAAATCATTAAACACACAGATTTTAAGCAATTCATTTGAATAAAAATACATAGTTTGTTTCCCTTTATTAAACAAATAGAGAATGGTTACCCCCTAATAGAAACTTAGTGACCCCTTAAAAAATAACTGTTATTTTCAGATTTCAGGCTGAAATATTTGGGAAACCGTTACTGGCAAGAGCTGAATGCTCCTCTTTAGATCAGGGGCCTCAAACTCCAGGCCTTAAGGACCGGTTATACTCCCTGCGGCAGTGTGTTGCAGTGAGCTTGTTGCAGATATTTTTGATTTATTCCTAATATTGAAGCGTGGTCTGCGCTATGTTATTCCATGCCACAACGCCAGAGCGACAATCACAAACTAGCTGTGTGTCTAGATACGGCTGAGGGGGTGAGGAAGTGGGGGCAAGTTTGTCCGACAACGGAGGGATATGAGGTTCGGAAAAGAGCGGGATCCAGGTGGAAAAAGGGTCCCAGTGTTCCCGCGCACCTCGCTTCACTAGCTAGTCCATCTTCACGAGTCGTTTTCTACAATGGCAGTCATACAAACAAAATAAGCTGGTAAGGTACCAAACAGGAAATACGGATAGTGTAGAGCGGATGTAGATTTGACCAATCAGAGGCCTCCTGCCTGCGGCATTGTCTGCGTCACCTAAAATTTTGGAAAGGTGCATCAGAGCGTCTGCGGCAGAGGTGGAGACATTTGCAATTACTGCGACACACACACAGACGACATAGTTTGAAAGTATAAATCAGCCTTTAGGGGCCGATATCCTGCAGCTTTTAGATTTAGATTGTTTCAACTAACAACACTCTAGAACTTGAGATCGAGCTCATTGCAGGTCAATGTCAGAGAAGTTGGTTTTCAGTTATATTTATTTCATCACATTATCTAGAATTTTCCAGATTTTTTGGATAATTTTCCTGATTAAAGACCAACTGCTCTCACACTTTTAGTTGTTTTGACAAAAGACCATTCCCATTTGCTTATAAAATTCCTGCTTTTTTTAAAGGTTGATGAAGCCATGCTTTTTCAAAAGGATTCCAGAGCCCACTTCGTCTAGACTAGACATGTGACATTACACAAACATGTCCAGTTAATTTGTTTTACACCAAATCCACCTGGAGTTGTTCTTCTTGTCTCATTCGACCAAGGCACGGTTTCAGTTAAAATTTCAGGAGTTTAGTAAAGTTCAGATGATGGCATTTGAGATGGAAGAACAGAAAAAAGCTTTTCTCTAGAATAACTGTCAAATATCCGATTAACATGTAGATATAACCCCTACAGGTTTTACTTATACATTAAATGACTAAAAGATCTCATGCTTTGAAGTGAGTTGCTGCTTTGAGATTTCAGCCTCACTAAAAGTACTAATTAACTATGGTCAGCTTCAAAATAATTCACAAAATATTGTTATGTTATATTTAATTTAAATGTCAGGGAACAAACCAGTGATTTTGATCAAATCTTTTTTTCATGCTACTGCAATCCTAGGCCTAATCAATCTAAGGGATTTCTACCAGTGATGCCCATCATCGTATGACACTCAATATACTCGCATTTACAAAAACACAACTCACCCATGATCTCTAGGTGTGTGTGCACAAAGCTCTCTGCTTCATCCTGCATGGAGGCATGTGAACGCATCGGCACTGGGAAATACCCGTAGTTGTCTCTGTTGCATACGTACATCTGCACGT